ATGTTGAACATTTGATTCCTATGTGTTGGTGAGACTTTTCAAGATGGGAATATGATTGGAAACCTATAAGGAATAAGGTTTGGTTATCAAGGCTCTATCAAGCAAGTAAAATCTTTAGTGATAAACCTTGGGTTTCTCCAAAAGGCTGGCTGAGTCAATGATGTCAATCAAATAATCTCAACGTCATTCTAGACATCAAATATAATCAATCTAAAGGCAGGTTCTTGCATTGAAGTTATTATTTCTATGGTAAATTTGTTCATACATGATCTCTCTGTTTCAAGTTGAATGGCTTTCCCGAAGTCCAACTCCACCTAAGGATTGACTAATAAGTGGTCAAAACTAGGAGGGTATGGAATCTCAAGGAAAGTGATAATTGTCTTATTTCTCTTCCTACTCTTGGAACTTCAACATAGAAGATTGGTATTTTGACAGTGGATGGAGTAAAGAAGTTTCTAGGAATCATTAATCTCACTCTGCCAGTTCTTTTACTTTTGGTAATGGTGCCAAAATGTGAAATTAAGGGTGTTGGCAAAATGGATGGATGATGTTCTCCTTGTTAAAAGTTTGACATCTAATATGATAATCATAAGTCAATTACGTGATCAAGGTCTGATAGTAAATCCCTCTAAGGAAGTATGGTTGGTAACTAATGAGAAGATTGAAGTTGTGATAAGGAAGCTACTTCCAAAGACAATTTCTATTTGGTGATACTACAAGTATCTACTGGAACATCCACTTGCTTAATGACCTAGGAAGATAAAGTCAAGATGTCACACCAAAAGTTGCAACACCTGACTACTGACACAGTTGTAGAACTTTCTTTTATAAATCTAATGAGACTAATGCAAGGTGAGAGTCTTGGTGGATAGAGGCGTGTATGTGTTGTTGTTGATGATTTTTCTAATTTGACCTGGGTGATCTATAACAAAGAAAAATCAGATATCTATGAGAACTTCAAAGATGTTTATTAACTTCTTCATGGAAAGATGAGTTTAAAATTTGATGAACGGATATGTCTGGATTACTCTACCAAGAGCAGATCAAATAAAAATGTTAACTCTAGAACGAAGGTCATTGTTTCTAGCATTAAGGGAGGTACTGATGTCCAAGCAGATGTTGAAACATCATATCAGCAGATTAAATTCAGGAAATGAGGTAGTCTCTTAAAAGCTAGCATGAACTAATTCAGAGAGATCTCAAGTCAACAAAATTCTCTCTTGTGTTCAGAAAGGTTATTCAAAGGGATTAATTATTTCTTTTATGAAGGGATCACCACTAGTTTCTAATATGTAATGTCTAATTTTAGGTTTCTGTCATGTTTTATATTCAAATTAATTGAGACCTTGTCTGATGAATTTTTGAGTAAAGCTATTGGCACAAAATTGATTTACAAGAACAAGTCTGTTGGAGTTTGTGTTAATAAAGGATGTTTCTTCTTGGGAAACAATCTTGTCTCTTGGATCAGCAATAAGTCAATTTATGTATCCTAGTATTTCTCTAAGGCTAAGTATAATTCCAAAGGGAGTTGTTTTTCTCAATTAAGTTGGAAGCTAAAGGAATACAAAGTCTTACAGGATGTCATGACATTGTAATGTGACAAGCTGATTGTAATCAGGGTACTCAAGGATTTCAATCTGCTCAGCAGGACTAAGATCATTGGTACTAATCATCACTGTGTTAAGGGTCTTGCTACGGGAAAAAATAGTTCTCCTAAGATTGCTATGTTTGAGAAGCTCTAGGAAATATATTTACCAAGACTTGAGGTACGAGTTAGATTGAGAATATGAGGTGTGATTTAGGTATTTACACTGCTGAAGAATTATTGTAGTTACTTCCTCTACCTAGTGGTGCATGGTGTGATTATCTCTTTATAAGGGAATGCCATCTTATACGTTGAAAGAATCCCCGAAGTCAATCTTGGTAAGAGAGGAAGAATAACTAGAGAGTATATATCTCCTATGGTGAGTGATGCACTGTTAATTAGGATAATTACACTTCCTTATAAACTCTCTCATTGACTTGTCTATCGTTATAAGCAAGGCATCATTACAAACAAGTCAGGAAAGAAGGCTAGGAGTACTAATCTAAAGAAGGTTGAGACTAAGATGGAAATATTTGTTGAATCATATATTAGAGCCTCCATGATAGGGAAAAAGTTTGTGACAAAGATGAAGTCCTGCAAGAAAAGTCTTGTTAAATTACATGACTCTGTCCTAGATGGTGATGAAGATTGGGTCAATTTTATTGACTCGGGTGGTGGGTCTAGATAGATGGTTTAAAAGAGGACAATTTATTTTTGATGTTTAGATTCGGAATAGTCTCCTAAACATTGTTTTGCTTCCATTAGTGTGTGTTTTCATCTAAGATTGTTTGTTTCTATTGCTAGTTTATGCTTCCATCTATGTTATTGCTGGTGTGCAATATGTGTGCTTCCAATATGGGTTTACATTTACTCCATTTTTGTTAATTTTTGGCTAAAAAGGGGGAGTAAAGTGTCAGTGTGTCTGTATGTCCTGATGTTATGACACATGTCTTGATATGCTGATTACCAAGTTAATAGGACTTTACTACTGCTAAGAGGAGAGTAGTTATTGTGGTTGCTTGTTGTATGCAACTATTTAGGGGGAGCATGATTGTTTGTCATGCTTGTTGGTGGTTCTGTTGCTGGTTGTATGTGTGCAATAATGTCAAACCACATGTTCTGACATCATGCCTGATGTGTTTATGGGGAACCCTGGTTACTCTTTGGTGATTTATTACTCTGGTGCTCTGAGTTATTTGTGAGGCTTCTGATGCATGTTCTTCTAATGTATGAACTTCGATAGTTCAAGTTTGTTTTTCTTGTGATTTGGAATTTCCCTTTGAAGTCCAGGTTTGGTTTTCTGGTGATTTGAGTTTTTCCCTTAAGGGGGAGAGGGGGTATTGATGATATTTGACGGGGGGTACTGGTCCTGTCTGAACTTGGAGTTGTGTTGGTGTAATGTCAGACCACATGTCTTGACATATGTCTTCTAGAATATTGAAGATGGTGATATATAACTGTATGTAATCTCTGATGTATTTTTATGATTGCAGTTTGTACAAAGTTTACATATTTTGTATGTAGCTTGTGTTTTACGGTTGTGGTTTTATTCCTCTCTCCAGTTTAATTCTGCTAAGGTTGTTTTTAGTCAAAATTTATCAAAGGGGGAGATTGTTAGATCTATGGTTTTAAAATTGGCAGCAATTTTGCAAAAATATGATTCATGATAGATATTGAGTAAAATGTCATAACATCTTAACCAAACTGGTACAGCAGAGTGTGTTGTTACTATTAAAGACAGATGGTGTGATATGCTGTACCAGAATATCAGTACATACTATTTTAATTTTTAACATACTTGATTATGTGAGATTCTTTTTGGATATATCTCATATATTTGTGCAGGTCCAGAAGAATTAATCTGGAAAATTTGATTTGATCTCCAGTTGTACATAAGTTTTTAAAATTTGATATTGAGACAATTTAGGAAACTTGATGTTTTGTTCCAAGATTTAAGGATATTTTTCTACATAATTAGTGCAACCTTCAGCTTGTGGATCAAGAAATATCTGGGTGAAGAATTCGAAGTCCATATACTACTGAGGAGTATATAAAGAGAAACATAAACCTAATGTAATATGCCTTTCACAATTTTGTAAAAAATAAGGGGAAATTTTGAGAGTCTCTTTTGTGTTTTGTAAGTCAGCCTTGTATCTTTTGATACATTATGGTATACTGATTGTTTATTGTTGTTTGGAAATCACTCATAAGCTTTTAAGCAAAGAGTTGATTGTGTATCAAGATATTGTTCTTAGTTAAAGCTTTTAAACAAAACTAAGTATTGTTCTCACTCATGAGCTTTTAAGCAAAGGGTTGAGTACTGTATTTGAAGTGTAATCTTCTGTTTTTGGTTTGTCACGGGTTTGTGACTGGTATGTCACTGAGGTGATTGTGGAAAGTGAGAGTGAGATCTCTTATTTAAAGGGTTCTAGATAGAAGTTACACGAGGTAGTGATTAAGTGATAAGTTGTAAACTAGGATTGATTTAGCTTTGAACTAATACTATCATAGTGAATTTCTTCCTGATTTGGGGTAACCTCCAGAATAGATGACGTTGCACTGAACTGGATTAACAATTGACTCTATTATTTATCATTCTGCAATTTATTTCTGCATAAATTATAATTTTGATATATTAAGTTCTACCTGTCAACAACAGATGTCGTAACACATTGTATTCTGGTGGTAGGATATAAATATTAACAGATTTTAAAGTATCATAATTTCATGTTATTTTAGAGCAAGACATTATAAGAATAATATATATATTTTAAACTATGTAAAACTAACGGATTACCTACAGTCTTTACGAGTTAGTTCAAATAGATTGTGGGCTTTTTAAAATTAGACTAAATATAAACTCTAATTTTAAGAATCAAATTCTATGATTTTTCGAACCCATTTTAACAGCTATAGCTAATGGGAGAAAAAAAAAAAAACCTACGTCGGACATGTATAAGCTGTAAGCATATAATGAAGATATAAAGATGAAATATTAAGGATGTCTATTTATAGAGAAAAATAAAACCACATAAAAAATAATGATGTCATCAACTGCCATAATGTCCACACTAGACACATTTCTTTTCTTCTGATTTTTCAGGTTTTGGATCTATAATTTGAATACATAAAACATAAGATCCAAATTCTAAAATTCAAGGAATATTTCTGGTAAGAGAAATGACGGATGAAAAAAGAAGCCACTTTATTTGATGTATATTCATCAATCATAAATAATTCCTATAGCTAGCATTCTAATTTTCTTCTTCATCATAGAATGCAGCTGTAAATAACTCTCTCTCTCTCTTACCCTTGATTATCCTGTTTGAAATAATATGAATAACTAATATAATACAACATATAAAACAAAAATATGTATATCAGTAAAATCGATTCTATTTAATGAATAATTTGCTTAAGGTCTTGAGCTCGATGAGAAAACTTCCATAGTTGAAAGATCAAAAGAATCCCAAGAATTGCTCCAACTGTCATTAATCAAATTGACACTAGCAGAATTTGAATTAATAGTAACAGGTAATAATAATTCATCATGATTATCATCCTCATTCAATGGCAATGGCAATGGCATGGAGTAATCCACCTCCATTTGCATCATGGATGGTGGTGGTTGTTGCCATGTTGACATTGACACCATCATAGCATCAGAAGAATCAGGCCATAGAACATCTTGAACCACGTCTTCATCAACACCCAGAAACCCCTCAAACTCGCTCAAACTCATTTCCTGATCAAAAGGATCCCCATTTACAACCACTGCATCAGGATGGATCACTGCATCATTCTCAGTTTCAACGCTGTCCGGTGTTGACAAATTGTTCATATTGGAAGAACATGATCCATTGTTATTGTTAGCCTCACTCTCAGTTTCTATTTCCTCATGATCACCATGATGAGTACTACTTGTGTTTTGGTTTAAGAATTTGGCGAAAACAACTGCCATATCTATATCGCGTGAAACATTATTTTGACTCTGTTGATCACCATCAACAGAGTCAGAACCATCCGTGGAAAGATGATCAGTATGCAAATTTCTGACCACCTTTCCTCGACGATGTTTGCGACAGCCGCCTCCAACAGGGACATTTCGAAGAGAGCCACCTTTAGTCCAATAACGCCTACAGCCTTTACAAAAATACCGCGGCTGGGAGAGGCTGTAATTGTTGTAGTAACAGAATTTGGTGTTTGTTGAAGCGCAACGAGGACAATTGGGAGCAATTTCAACATGTGGTTTCCATTTTGAATTTGATTGGTCCATTGAGGTTGTTGAGAATGGCATGGGATTGGAAAAAGAAGAAGAAGATAGCATATGCAACATTTGATCTAGCTCGCTAGTAGTAATATTGTTATGTCTTTGTTGGAACATTTGTTTAGATAGTAGTGAAATTGGGATTGATGAGGTAAGAGGATCAAGAAAGTTGAGAGAGTGAGAGAGATATTATAAGGGGGGTGTGTGTGGTGAAGAGAGAGGAATAAGTGTAGGGAAAGCGTAGTTGTGTGAGTAACGTGGACGGTTGGGGGAGTCGTTGGAATTAAGGAAGGGTGTGTGTATACGCATGTGCATAGGGTTAATTTAATTGATTGATGTTGATGTGAATTTCATGTTATAGTGTGCTATTTCATAGGCGGATGGAACGTGTTTCATTCCCTCATGTGGCGTTTCTTGATTGGGTCTTGTTCTTGAATGTGATTGAAGTTGATAAGTCAAACAATTGCTTGGTTATATAGTTATGATTGCACATGCCAAATTACCAATTCACCATTGCAATTTGCAACATCTTCTTAATGGATGTTACTCAATTTTTCAGTGTGGATTAATGAATTATGTGAATGATTTGAGTATCTTTGGGGTGATAAAAGTTGGCAAGAATGTAGTGTGAAACAATGTAGAGTGTGTTGGGTAATAGTGATGAGAATTGTGGTTTATGAAATAAGTTTCGCATATAGTTTATTAAAAAAAGGCTAGCATTACGGGTGTAGGAGTCTGATCAGAACGTGCTTCAAGAAGATACATATTTAGTTTTAACTCTTTTTTTTAAATCATAAAATAAGGCAAATGAAGCTAGATTTCTTGCAATTATGTGGACTAGTTAATTCAACCCTATAATGGTCAACCAACTTTCTCTCATATGCTTAATTCTGTAGTTCATTGACGGACAAAACGAGTGACGCAATTAATTATTGTAAGCAATACTCCTTACTTCTCCTTCAAATTAACATAAAATAAATTGATCGTTGCGTCTCCAATAGCTCCGAAGAAATTATGTGACCGTCCATATTAGCTCATATAATATTACATCTTGTGGTACGGTGCACTTATTCCTGCCACCTCCCAAATTTTAATCGATAATCTCGTATGTTTTTATTATATTAACTATTGAAAATATATAATACTTCGAATGTATGGTATAAATTTTGGAAATATATTAGCGGTATCAGTTTAAAAAATAAACACTTTTTAAATGTAAAAATTGGTTTTTTTCGTGGGTGTAATCTGTTACGTAAAAAGGCGTAATCGGTTGAAGCTGATTTTTTTAATTCTATATTTTTCTTTTATCGTAGGTGTAACCGATTCCAATATTTTGTATAATTAGTTATGAATCCGTGCTTTTTGAGTTTTAGCTTTTTTTTAAGTTGTTTTGTTTTCTAATTCTTTTGTATTGTCTTGTATAAATATCATCATATGTTGTAATATTTGGTTAATGCAATTCCTCTCTCTCTCTCTCTCTCTCTCTCTCTCTCTCTCTCTCTCTCTCTCTCTCTCTCTCTTATTTCTCTTATCATTTCATTCCATCTTCTCCAATTAACACAAATTCTCCATTGATTCACCACTAGAGCTTGTGTATTTCTAATATTTGGCATCAAAAGCTCTGGTTCTGATCCATAATCCGCTGCAAGGATGAATTTCGTTTCCAATGGTAGAGTTCCCACCAACCTACTGATTCTTGATTAGAAGAATTATGATAGATGGTCCAAACAAATGAATGTTTGGTTTGAGTATCAAGACGTTCTTGAGGTGATCAAGAATGGAGTTACTCCACTTGAGGCTGAAGCTACAGATGCTCAGAAGGCTACATTTAAGAAAGAAATGAAGAAGGATTACAAGACACGTTTCTTTATTCATTATTGTGTTGATGGTGTCAACTTTGAAAAAATTGGCAATTGCGATTCGGCGAAGCAAGCTTGGGAGATCTTAGAAAAAGCTTATGCAGGGGCTGATAAAGCAAATGTGGTGAGGTTACAAACCCATAAGAGGCACTTCGGATTGACTCAAATGAAAGAGAAGGAGACGATAAACGATTATGTAACTTGAATTACGCGTTTGGTGAACCAAATTAAGTCCTAGAAGAAACTGTTTTGGAGAAGAATGTTGTGTCGAAGATCTTGCGTTCTTTAATGTCAAGATTCGACAATATTGTAGTGGTAATCTAAGAATCTAAGGACCTTTCTACGTTGAGAAAAGATGAGGTTCAAAACTCTCTTGAGGCTCATGAATAAAGGATGGATGAAAGGGAAAATGATAAGGCTAAAGCGAAGATTACGTTGTAAACACAGTTCAATGAGAAATGTAAAGATCGAAAGGAAAATGACCTTCAAAAGGAAAGGCAAATTTACAGAATTTGGATGCAAAAGATTCATAAAATTTGAAGGTTTTGATGGGACAAAAGGATGGGAGAAGCTCCAAAGGTAGTGATCAAAGCAACTACATCAAGAAGATTGATAAGAGTAATGTGAAGTGTTACAATTGTCATAGACTTGGTCATTTCGCAAGAGATTGTAATGCGAGACCAAGGGAAAATCAAAGAGATTAGGCTAAAGTTGAGAGGCAGGAGGTGGATGATGAAAACACGCTTCTGGTTATGATCACAAAGGAGAATCATGGCAGTAATAAGCTGCTGGACATCAGTAGTAACAACTGCAAGTTGCTGGATATCAGCTGTAGTAGTTCGAGGAATGCTGCAGAAACGCGTTCAGAGCAAAACGTAATGGTAATGGTTTGAGATGGAGTCCAAGGAAGTGATGAGTGGTACTTGGATTCTGGTTGTTCAACGCATATGATAGGTGGAAAGGATTGGTTTGTCAAACTCAATCAAGCCATGAAGAATAAGGTGAAATTCGTAGATGATACCACTTTAGCGGCCGACGGGGTCGGTGATGTTTTGATCATGAGAAAGGCTGGTTGATCAAAGATGGGCTATACATTACATGAATCAAATGTAATCTCTTAAGCATTAGTCAATTACTTGAGAAGAATTGCATGATTCTCATCGAAAATAAGATTTTGCACATTTTGGACTGAAACGCGGTTTTAGTCCTTAAAGCGCCTATGGCTTTCAATAGGACTTTCAAGATAGAGTTGAAAGTGATGAAGCATACGTGTCTTGTTACAGAGGCAAGTCGATAAGAGTGGTTGTGGCACTACCGTCTTGGACATCTTAACTTTCGAGACCTCGACGTGTTACAAAGGGATGGTATGGTAACCAGGTTGCCAAAAATCGATGTTCTAGTTGATATATGTGAAGAGTGTGTGCAAGGGAAGCATCAAAAGGGTAGTTTCAGCAAGGATGCATGTCATAGGACTAAACATTATCTTGAGGTGGTGTACTCTGATGTTTGTGGGCCAATGCAAGTCGATCCGTATGGTGGCAATAAGTACTCTGTCACTTTTATCGATGATTTTAGTAGGAAACTATAGATATACCTAACCAAGATAAAGGATCAGGTATTTTATGTGTTTGAAAGACTCAAGTCCATGGTTGAGCGGCAAAGTGGTCACAAATTTAAAATTCTCAAAATGAATGGTGGAGGTGAATATACCTCAAATGAGTTTAGGAAGTATTATGATGAAGATAGGATAGTGCGTGAAGTTGTGCCGCCTTATACGCCACATTAGAATGGTGTTACTGAGAGGAAAAATCATTCTATAATGAACATGGTTCGAAGCATGTTAAAGGGAACAGACTTTCCGAAGGAGCTATGGGGTGAAGTCATTTCTATAGCCGCCTATTTTTTGAATAAGTGCCCTACAAAGAAGCTTGATAAGGTAACTATAGAAGAGGTATGATGTGTATTTAAACCAAGCTTAAGTTATTTGAAAGTTTTCGATTTGATAGCATTTTGACACGTTTCGGGTCAACTTCAAAACTAGTTGGGTGACAAGGGTGAGATGATGTTACTCGTTGGTTATCATCCTACTAGAGGTTATATGTTGTTTGATGTTACAAACAAGAGGATCGTGATCAGCCGAGATGTATTGGTTGACGAGCTGAGGGGCTTCGACAGCAAAAAATATGTTGTGAGAGTTACTATAACTAGTTACCAGAATGACGTAATCAGTTACGGGTGCAATTTTCTGCATAATGAAGCTACTATAATTGGTATGACAAGAGGTGTAATTGGTTACGATAATTTTTAACCGGTTACGATAACGAAAATGGCAATTTCCAGAATGCAGAAGGTTCAGTTCAACACTCTGTCGAAGCCGAAATCAGGGAAAATAGTAGACGAACAACTAAGAAAAAAGGTTTGCCTCATAGACTCCAATATTATGAAGTATTTAATAATAAAGAAATCAATGGTGATGGTGATTTCGTTCACTTTGTGCTTATGGCCGAATCCGAGCCCGTTAGCACAAAAGAGGTATTAAGTGATCTAAAGTTGGTATGTGTGATGAAAGAGAAGCTGTAATCAATTGAGAAAATAGTACTTTGGAGTTGGTTTATCTATCGGAACAAAAGAAGGAAATCAGTGTGAGATGGGTCTATAAGTGAAGACGAATCCCAAAGGTGAGATAGTCAAGCATAAGGCTCGATTAGTTGCGAAGGGATTTTTGCAAAGAGAAGGCATAGACTTTGATGAGGTGTTTGCACCTGTTTCTAGGATAGAAACCATAAGGGTAGTTGTAGACATTGTAAATTGAAACAATTGGCCGATTTATCAAATGGGTGTGAAATCTGTGTTTTTGAACGGTCCGCTTGAGGAGGAAGTTGATGTAGAACAACCCCCTAGTTTTGTTGTGACAAATCAATATGGAAGTGTCTACAAAGTGAAGAAAGCGCTTTATGGATTGAAGCAAGCTCTTAGAGCTTGGAACAAATTCGTTGATGGTTTCCTAGTTAATGTTGGTTTCGAGAAATGTGTTCCTGAATATGGTGTTTATGTGAAGTCGGATGCAAGCAAAGATGTGATCATACTTTGCATATATATGGATGATTTGTTGATCACGAGCAGCAATGAGATAAGTATTTCTAAGTTCAAGAGTGAAATTATGGAAGAATTTGAGATGAGTGACCTTGGCATTATGACATACTTTCTTGGCATAGAGTTCCACAAGTCAAATATGGAACTGCTCATGCACCAAAGGAA